ACCACTCCTACCCCAAAAATTTCTCTTTAGTGGCAAGGGCGGTAAAGCCCCTTCTAGGGACTTTGTAGCCCAAAACATCACCAAAGTTGCCAAGGCGGCAGGTCTCCAACATAAAAAGTTGACCTCGCACTCTTTCCGGGGAGGAGCGGCCACCCACGCAATTAGACAAGGGGTGGATTCGGGTAAAATTATGCTTGCAATTCGTTGGAAATCCTTCCAAGGCTTTAAGAGCTATATTGAACCCTCTCCACTGTAAACGTCCAGGGATTGGCTTATTGTATATTTCAGAGCTATCAATGGAACGACTTCAGCAATCAGGACAGAGACTGTTCGATGGCCAACACTCTGGATATGACATGTTGGAAATTCGTGAAGCGGCTCCGTGTGTATTTTCCGTACTTTAATTGTTGATATTTTTGTCATGTTTCTTGTTATCCCGTTACTAGGCTATAAGCCTCCTATGAAGCTCATAAGAGATTTGAACATTGTTGTTATCTTTAGTTGTTTCTGTACATATTACTTTAGTTGTTTCTGTACATATTACTTTAGTTGTTTCTGTACATATTAACTGCTCGAGGAGCAGATATATACGCCTTCGTTGTTGATACTCATACAAGATTCTCGCTCGTTGTTCGGTGCTCATCCGGAAATTATATTCTATATCACTTCTAAAATGGTGCCTTTTTCACTACAGGGTTTTATCCGCAGTTGTTTCCTCTTCACGGGATATTTCAGGTTTCATCATGTACCATTGTGTATTCTTATGCTAATCCTTGAGTAGGAGAATGTAATACTCATAATAGTTATTATTCATTACGTCATAATACATTTACACATTTCTCTAAAAATGTTGAGCTTAAACTTGCTTCGTTCACTTCAGCATCACCTTAATAGTGTACTTAGGAGATGCAATATTATGCCCCCGAGGGCGCGCCTCCAGCTGAGGCATTTTTACATGTTCTCATTGTATATATGTGTACGCTATATTGTAAAGGTCAATCGTGGGCCGTTTTGCGACACGAACGTAAACGATAAAGCCTTCTCGTCCCGTAGTCTGTTGCGTGTGAAAACAAAACGTAAGTTTCGTCGTAGAGTATCGGAGACGAAATGGAGCTGTTCCCTCTGGCTATAAGTGTTACGAAATGTGTTTACTACAATGCAGTTTGGTCATGATCATATAACACCTTTCAATCGATTCTGCAACTTCGAGTGAGGTCGGATGCATGGCCTATACCCAGACAAAATCGGATGATGACGATTGCCCCTTTTCTTATTGCTGTTGAAGAATGTATTCTAGACACATTTCGAGCGTTGCCAACGAATTACACTTGCAATGGTGAAGAAGGGAGCGGCTTTTTGAGCGGCCGAGAATCATCCTCGATAGATCCTCGACGCAAATATCTCCTCAACTAGACAATGTAGAAGGAAGCTAAACATATTGTTAGAAAGCGCAAACCTTCCGCTTTCCAAAACTGTCTTCGTCTTTTCGCGAAATTAGAGAGATATTGCCTTTTAAGTGGCAAAAACTCGCATGAAAATTCCAGCATCCTCGACGCTCCCTCGACGGATTTTGAGAGACTATATCTCTTCGAATGGAAGGCTTCTCATAGCAATCCCAATACTGCCTGATAGTATCAAATCTAGTTAAAAGGTTGGGAAATGGAAGAATGCAACCTTTTCATCGAGGTGTAGATTTCGATTTTTTTCGGGATTTCAGCAAATCTGACCCAGGGACAAATCGCGCCGCAGCTGCCGTTGAATCGGCCGTTGATCGATACTCGGCTATTCTGATTGCTCTGTATTAGGAGGGTCGTGCCAAGGCCTCGATTTCAGGGGGTCGTACTTTTGCGGCCACGTCCTCGGCACGATTTTTACCCTCACTTGAAGAGAATTTACTGCGAATGAGTCGTGTGGTGAACTTGGTGCCAAGTGACGTTGATTTAGCGCTAGTGTCAAAAATGTATGCCGCATTTGTGATCAGGGCTCTCGATAACCCCTCAAAGGTACGTTTCACGAAGTTTTCTTTTGCCGAAATTGATTGCAATGTTTATGTAGTGGGCTGAAACGTTCACGAAAATGGCCGGAAGGCTTACGAAATTGGCCTCCATGCTAATTCAGGCTAGCTGTTGATGGATCTTAGCCCAAAGCTGAACATGCGTTGGCAGTTTTCCATGTGGCAATGATCCGTGACGCAGAAGGCGTGTGGCGTATGGTGTCGTGTCATCGTGCCGGATCGTGCCAGAGGCCATCAATCTCTTGAGCCTCGTCATGGCAGCTTAAGCCTCGTCATCAGTGGTTTCGCAACCTGCGACAGCCACTACTTAAGCCGCCTCCAGCGTCTTGAAAACAGCTAGCCCATCGGTCCGTGGCCGACCTCGCCTCGCCGATCCCGGCTACCTCCTCACCTATTGTCCCCTTCTCCCTTGTTATGTTATAGTATATAATAAAGTGTATATAGCCCATTGTGACTACACACCCGCTACACAATCGGGTTAAAGGCCTGATGAACATTTATCGTATAACACACCGAATTTTCGGTTAATTCGCACCAGAAGCGCACCGCACAAGTTCAGGAAATATTATACTTATGAGAAGCAAATCCGAAATGTATAAGATATCAATTTTCGATTACAATGAGAATATTGACCCTGACAGTGCAGGACGGCTTCCGTTCTTAATAAATTCGGGACGAAACCAAGGCTACGGATCGACAAACGTGTTTTTTTTAAGGAATTGCTCATTATTAGTGATAAGTGGGGAGTGTCTGACATACATTGAGGTTAGATCATTTGATTTCCACTGTCATCAAGTTCAGAAAAGAAACTTTCTAGAGATTGGCAACATGAAAACTGATTATCGTCAAATTAATGCAATTTCAGTGGCCCCAATTTTCTACCTATCGAACATACATGACATTCTAGATTTAGATATTGTTAGTAGGACGGAATCTATCCGGTAATCTTTTAACGTGGTTCCTTCGAAGTACTCTGACGAACATAATGACGGTGTTAGTTGCTTAGAAGGAACCAGTTTCGATAATGGCTTAGGTTGGCAAGGGCCCCTGTTCTTAAGAGGAGTCCGAAAGCTTAACATTACGTGCGTGGACTATGTGTTTTGCATGTGATAAGGTGTTTTGTAGTCCTCTACCTTCCCTTCGGAAAGAGGGAGCTCATCATGGTAAAGTTCCCATCAAATGGAACAGCTTCTTCCATGATTTTCCTTTATCTCCGCAAGGAATGATTCCGCCGATCGATCCGCCTTCGGCTTGAAGAACATAATAATGGAAGATGGAAATGAATCGCTGCCATAAACTGCATTCTGCAAGCCTAGGACGTGACCTCTACTACAAGGTATGCATTAAGGACATATTCATTGAGATCTCGTTTGCAATGACGACACTTTTCGTCCTTAGCTAACGAACCATGAAAATGCTCCTCTGTTGGAGATGTTAATCATTCCAATATAACAACTCTAATCTTTGTGAGTCGCTCCTGCGACAAAAGTCGTGCTAGTAACTGTCCAAATGCGTTTTCTCGTTCCGTTTCGGTTAAGTTCACTCATACATCATTCCTTTTTTGCCGGACAGATCAAGAAGGAGACATCACGCAAGGAACCGTTAATACGATGCTGTCGTTGGTTTCAGGACGAACCATCACCTTAAGCGGAGCAGTACGTCTAGGTAGAGGAGCTTTTGTTCACCAAAACAATAGCCCTCTTAGGTCAGTTTAAGTTTCCCTTCTTCAAGCCGCACTGTCGCGAAAATCTTTACGCATACATTCTTTGAATTGGCGGTTCAAAGAATTCTAAGGCAGCGTTCTTGTGTCCAAAATAAACACTAGCACTTCAACTGTACGCCCTTATACTAGTCGAAAAATCGAGTGCTGTTCAACAGACTAGTATTCTTTTTGCATTCTGAGAATTTGTATGAGCACATGTTATAGATTTTTCCAGAATTAACTTGTGTTGTTATAGGAAATCAATAGTGTGTTATATATTAGTATGACAATATTGTCTAACTCTATGGCATTTCGATTCTGAGAGATATGTACAAGTACTATTGTGATGTTCAAAAAAGCTCCTATATACACAGATTTGACCTCATGTGAAATAACGTGTTGTATAACTCGTAACTTTAACTTCTGTTGTCTTTTTCAAGTGCTAGAAACTCTCGAATGTCTATATTGGGTCCCAACTCGTAGCATAGGGTCAAATTTTCATTGTATGTTTATTTGAGCTTTCCTACCCATCACAAGCGTTTGCAACTTTCTGACCAGAATGTTATGTAATCATCACTCGGCTGTTACTAGCCTCGAGGACGAGCTCTTTCTTCAAGAGAGGGAGTGTATCTCTACCGTTTCTCTCTTCCGTTGTCAGCCAGCACGGATTCTATTTTTGTATAATCGTCGCGGACACTATTTTTCCACTGCAATAGCTTCCAACATTGCCGAATGATTGAACGACTTGTGCTGCATGTAGAGTGAAAGATGGGGGTAGCATTGGGTATTTTGTAAGACTCTCTGACCTCACCAGCACATTTCACGTTCGCCGTTTATCGAATCTCAGTCGGTATCTATTCTCTATTTTATTTCAAGAGATACTCGCAAAGACATTCAGACAAATTGGAAGAATACTTGAAGCTCGAGGACGAGCTTACTGTAAGGAATGGAGATGTCGTGTCATTGAGACCTGACGTCAGTAGAAAAGGTCAAACCCCACCTCAGTAAGTTAACTACATAGATTGGTCCCGCTACTCGCAATCATAACCAATTTCGTACATTCTGATAATCGTATCAGCTCAGTAGGGGTCAATATTAATGCAATTATGATCATGAAATGTCTAGCTAGACTAAAAACAAACTATTTGCAACAGGGAACATTCGGTAATATTAGTACTCACAAATTCTATTATGCAAAATATTTTATTAACTTATTGGAATCCAATAATTAACGTCCAAATCGGACAAGACCAATCACTTTAAGAAACATGGGGCTCCACCAAATCAATATAATCTATACCGCATTGCCGCACTACATGAAAGGACCCGATCGCCACTGGGTCGACCCTACAATAATTGCTAGCACCTCTCACCAACAAAAGAGGTAAAACTTCTAACCGGTTCATATATCGAGATGTAGCTAATCTCACTCATCGCTATTTCGTCACCGCTAGCTACGGTATCCCGAAATAGACACCATCAATCACCTCCAGTTTCTCGGGAGCTATCCGAAATCACTTCTCTCTCAAGATATATTGCTCGTCTCGGAGCCCAACTTTCGATGTTTCATCGTCCAGAGAGATCATTGATCTGGAATGCTTCCTCATCCAATGGAGATCATTGATCTAGAATGCTTCCTCATCCAATAGCGATCCCTGATCTGGGATGTTTCATCATCCAATAGTGATCATTGATCTGGAAGTGTAACTCGCTGATCCACCGCCATCCAGTCATGGTGCTTCGCGAGATACCAGAGCAATTAATCTGAATCAGCTCTCACCGAGCTGTAAGTTGTATCCCTTCCTCCGAAGAAACAATCCCTCAAGTCGAGTCGACTACACATATCGCAACTTGAAGTATGATATCGCAACAAATATTTCAACTTCCTATAAGGAACAAGACTCAACCCATAACTCAAGTGATCTATAGGAAATGAAAACAATGCACGTGCACCAAGCCCTATTACCAGGTTGCCTGCAGAACCTTCTAAACTTTGTACATCATACAACCTTATTCGTTTTGGAAGTCTGAAATAAAATCTTGATTTTCAGTAACTTCGATTTTTTCTTCTTTCCATATCCTTCAGTGTGGAGCTACAGTACGCCACTGAGTTCAAGAGGCGTGACTGAAATACGTATCCGGGGGAGTATTACACCAAAATCTGGCCAGTACTTAAAGTGCCAACCGGGTGGCAGTGACTACTCAACATCATCAGCCCACCCCGGGAGCTGTCGGTTCTCCTCCATAGGCTCTGTCCACTTTATACCAGTTTCAACTCTGCGCCCCTCGCTGAACAACAGAACACCTTTCTCTTCTATCGATCCAAAGCAATTGGTAACAGTCAGTATTTTTGATTAAAGTTATATAACTCAAAAACTAATCAATTGAATTTCTTAACTGCACAAATAAGGTAAGCTAAAGTCCAGTTTCAACTCTGACAACAGTCTTCTATTTCTACGAATTTTTAATTAACGATAGCACACCCACCCACTTGACTTACAATATCCCGCAGCCACATTTCAGAGGCACACTCAGATATCGATATGCAGGAAGAAGATATAATTGCCCGTTTAGATACAGCATTCGACAAGCTTTGCTTAGCACCATATGCTAGCAAACTTCCAACTTTCTCTGGAGATACAGGAGCAGGAAGTTTTATGGATTTTCTCAATAAGTTTAATGAAATAGGAAATATAATGGGACTACAGAAAGTAAGTTGGTTCTCCTACTTCCAGCCCACTTGGAAGGGACTGCGAAAGCAGTTTTTGAAAACTTTTCTGCCGCAGAGAAACGCGATTGGCAAATAGCAACTACCAAATTGCAGCAATATTTTTCCACTGACCACTTTCTAGATATGGCTAGGGAAAAACTAATGAATATGCGCATGGAAACAGGGGAATCCCCTGTAGTCCTTTCCAACAGGGTTCGCAAAGAAATCCTGGAAGCATATCCCAGTAATATAATGACAGAGGAACGGTGACAGAGGAACGCAAATTTCTCCAAACATTGGTGTTCACTAATGCACTCTCAGATCCAGTAAAACAGAAACTCAAACTTTTAGGTCCCTTGCCCACCCAGTATGACAAACTGGTGCAAGAGGCAGAAAGAATGTGGAATCTAATCACAACAGACCACAGTTACATTACGGGAGATGCACTCATAGCAAAAATTGATCAAGTGTTGGACGACATGTCCTATCCAATGAGTTCAGTTTGTTGTGAAGAACACCAAAATAAGTCTAACAATCCTACATTGTACGACTCCAACATGAATAACCCTAGCGTATCTAACCTTGGTAACTAAGAACGTCCACACAATCCCACCTTTCAGTCTAGGATTAGATATAGGGACTATAGCGCTTCTCGAAATCGGTGTTCACATTCAAGAACGCCGTCGCCAAATGACTTTCTAGAAAACTTTCATCTCTAGGCAATTTTAACTTGTCAAAAATCAATCTATACCACACACAACTTTCGGTACTCATTCGCAAACCAACCCCCCTCCAGGTTAGTAAATATTATACCTATGTTAAACAAATACAGAAACATCGTATAAGATATGAAATTTTCAGATAGCAATTGAGAAAACTTGACCCTCTAACAAGTAAGGCGCTTACTTCATAAAATATCGGGACGAAAAACCAAGGCTACGATCACAACCAACGTTTTTTTTAAAAGGATTCTCATATAGTGATAAGTGGGAGTGTCTAGAACATACATTGAGAGCTTAGATTATTTGCATTTCCACTGTCATGAATTCAAAAAAGAAACTTTCTAGAGATTGGCAACATGAAAACTGATTATCGTCAAATTAATGCAATTTCAGTGGCCCGAATTTTCTACCTATCGAACATACATGACATTCTAGATTTAGATATTGTAAGTAGGAAGGAATCTATCCGGTAATCGATTTTAACGTGGTTCCTTCGAAGTACTCTGACGAACATAAATGCACAGGATGCTACTCGTTTCTTAGACGGAACCAGTTCACGATAATGGCTCAAGGGTTGAAAGGTGCCCCTGCTACTTTCAGAGAGTCGCGAAAAGCCTTATACATTACGTGAGTTGAAATCATGCTGTTTTGCATGAAATGATGACATGATAATTGCTAGCCACTTAATATAACCTTCCCTTCGGAAAGAGGAGCTCATCATGGTAAAGTTCCCATTAAATGGAACAGCTTCCTCCATGATTTTCCTTTATCTCCACAAGGAATGATTCCGCCGATCGATCCGCCGTCGGCTTGAAGAACATAATAATGGAAGATGGAAATGGAATCGCTGACATAAACTGCATTCTGCAAGCCTAGGACGTGACCTCTACTACAAGGTATGCATTAAGGACATATTCATTGAAGATCTCGTTTGCAATGACGACTTTTCGTCCTTAGCTAACGAACCAATGAAAATGCTCTTCTGTTGGAGATGTCAATCATCCCAATATAACAACTACTAATCTTGTGAGTCGCTCCTGCGACAAGTCGTGCTACTAACCGTCCAAAATGTGTTTTCCTCGTTCCGTTTCGGTTAATGTTTCCACCAAAATACACATCAATCACTTTTGCCTACAACAACGGAAACATCAACAGACACGGAACAACCGTTAATACGATGCTGCCGTCGGTTTCAGGACAGAACATCAGTTGAAGTGGAGCAGTGAGTCTAAGCAGAGGAGC